ACTTCTAAGATCAGTTTCATAAATGAGAGAAACAATTGCTCTCTGACTTCGATTAATTTTACGATATAAAATCGAGTCAAATATGCAGACGTGTCAATGCTGAGGTTAATGCTTCATCGAGTTGAAATAACGTCCCGAAAACTCTTAGAAAATCTTCCTGAATGCGTTGAAACATAAAGAGTCTTACAAGAAAGCGTCTTCGTGTTCCGGAAGGAAAACTACAGCGTGTTTCTGGTCTTGATCGTCTTCAGGAACGTCGAAAGCGTCATCGAATAAAAAGAAAGACCCTGTTGCTGATGAGGCTGTTGTTTCTTCTTCATCAGAGCTCGGAAATGAGTCAGATTTGAAGGAAGGCGGAACCAGGAAGGATGAACTCGGTGTTGCTGGTTCTTCTGTCACAGGTAAATCGTCGTCAGCCTGAATTGAAAGGACAAGATGTTTCAAAAGACTTGAAATCATTTTTCAATGCCACGTTTCACCAACATCATGGCTCGACAGTTGCACAATTTCCAGAAATATTTGCAGACATTTAGTGTAAATACTCGAGCAAGCCCTTTCTCAAGAATCGTTTTGACTCTTTTAAATTCCATGTGCAGTAGAACCTCGTTACGAAAGAAGCGTTTGGGACCTTCAAAAGGTCTTCTATATAAACAAACATTTTAAAACTCGAAATTGAGATGACATTGTGGCTTTTGGGCAGGGACAAAAAAAAACTAATGCGTAATTAGCATTAATTAATTTCTTATAATGAGGTTCGTTGAAAAGATAGTCTTCATACCAATTTCCCACTTCTTGCTCGTGGTTTTCAACAGATTTTTTCTTAAATTTGAATGCTAAGGTGAAAAAAAATGTTGAATTTTTTTCTATCCCTATATCCTGGGATTTTGCAGTCAACTTCTATCTCTCGATTCCTGTTAAAAAGGTTTACTGCGTGCAAAAACGTCAAAAGACGCATTTTACACGTTAGAATTAAGTACCTAACACGTATAAAACAGCGAACTTTCATTTTAAAAATGGTACTATTATTAGGAATCAGTATATCTTGGGGAGAATACAGCACAAGAAGGTCATTTTTTTGAAAAAAAAACGAGTAATTTTTCAAAATTGCGAGTATTTCCTGGGAAAGCCGGAGGTATAATATAAGTTGTTCAGCAGATTTGACAAATTATATCTTTTATGTTTTAAAAAAGCCACGATTTTGATTCGCATCACATGATTACTATTTTTTATTACATAATTGTCTGATAAATTCATAATATTTTTGAAGTTTATGTATAGCAAGGTGCAAGATAAAATGGTACTCGTGTGTGTGGAACTATCGAAAAACGCGTCGTACAACACTCGAAATTTCATGGGATGGTCTAAAGTTTTCCTAGGAGAAATGACGAGACGAGATTTTTTGATAAACGATGGAAATATCTGGAATATGGGACATGGTGACACACTGAAATGAGGACTTTTGAAAATGTTTCCTCGTCGCAATCGCATTTTTTCCCAATCACATTCAAGGAAAACGGGATTATTTTTTGACAAGGCAGTTTTAATTCTTATTTCTTTAGACCCCAAGTCAGAACATGAATCTGCAAAAGTAAATAATCATATTTTCTTTCCACTCGTATATAAAAAAAAGGGGGGAAAAACTCGCCTTTTTAAAAGAATCGAAGACACATTCCTCGAGTTGCTTGAGGAACATTCGATCATTGGTCACCTCAGTTTCCAAAACACACTTTTGAAAGACCTTGCTAAAGTATTTTCTTTCCAATCCTTGCTGCAACTTGGCAATCTTTTCTACATTAATCTGAGTCCCTTTTGTCGATGCAGAATCCGGGGGATTATCTATGGGATTCCCAGCGCCAAAAGTATTGGGCAAATTTTCCGACGGAGAAATCAGCATAGTGGTGACGACTAGAATTTTCACTCCCTCTTGAAATCGAGTCGACTTCATCATTAAATAAAAACAGTTCACTGAAAAATAAAACAACAAAATATTTGTCAGACGGCGCATTTTTCGCGTGATTATCGAAAAGAAGCTTGAATATCCGGCACGCTAGGGTTCGTTGTCCTTATTTTTTTTAAAGATTAGGTTTTAGATACATTTTTGATATGAATTAACATATCTTGAACTTGAAGAATATCCCACTAAAAGGTTATCACATGTATTCCCTCAGATTCATTGTTTTACGATTCGAGCTGGATTAAGTTGACCATCATAAAAAAGACAGAATTGAAAAAAAGTCCAAACTGTTTTCCTTTAGATTGTGATTTCATCAGTTAAAGGACAATTTTTCCAAATGACGCACGTTTTTGCAGTTTTCTGCGTAAAATGTGCAATCTTAATTCATGGATTGTGCATATTTTGTCGCTTGAAAGTAAAATTTTTACCATGATAATAATCCTTAGTCTATATCTTGGGGAGAATACAACACAAGAAGGTCATTTTTTTGAAAAAAAAGCGAGTAATTTTTCAAAATTGCGAGTATTTCCTGGAAAAGCCGGAGGTATAATATAAGTTGTTCAGCAGATTTTAGTGCTCAGTGTATTTAGGTGACAAATTATATCTTTTATGTTTAAAAAAAACCACAATTTGATTCGCATCACATGATTACTATTTTTTATTACATAATTGTCTGATAAATTCATAATATTTTTGAAGTTTATGATGTATAGCTCGGTGCTAGATAAAATGGTACTCGTGTGTGGAGCTATCGAAAAACGCGTCGTACAACACTCGAAATTTCATGGGATGGTCTAAAGTTTTCCTAGGAGAAATGACGAGACGAGATTTTTTGATAAACGATGGAAATATCTGGAATACGGGACATGGTGACACACTGAAATGAGGACTTTTGAAAATGTTTCCTCGTCGCAATCGCATTTTTTCCCAATCACATTCAAGGAAAACGGGATTATTTTTTGACAAGGCTGTTTTAATTCTTATTTATTTAGACCCCAATAAGTCAGAACATGAATCTGCAAAAGTAAATAATCATATTTTCTTTCCACTCGTATATAAAAAAAAGGGGGAAAAAACTCGCCTTTTTAAAAGAATCGAAGATACATTCCTCGAGTTGCTTGAGGAACATTCGGTCATTGGTCACCTCAGTTTCCAAAACACACTTTTGAAAGACCTTGCTGAAGTATTTTCTTTCAAATCCTTGCTGCAACTTGGCAATCTTTTCTATGTTAATCTGAGTCCCTTTTGTCGATGCAGAATCCGGGGGATTATCTATGGGATTCCCAGCGCCAAAAGTATTCGGCAAATTTTCCGACGGAGAAATCAGCATAGTGGTGACGACTAGAATTTTCACTCCCTCTTGAAATCGAGTCGACTTCATCATTAAATAAAAACAGTTCACTAAAAAATAAAACAACAAAATATTTGTCAGACGGCGCATTTTTCGCGTAATTATCGAAAAGAAGCTTGAATATCCGACACGCTAGGGTTCGTTGTCCTTTTTTTTTTTTAAAGATTAGGTTTTAGATACATTTTTGATATGAATTAAATGCTCTTGAACTTGAAGAATATCCCACTAAAATGTTATCACATGTATTCCCTCAGATTCATTGTTTTACGATTCGAGCTGGATTAAGTTGACCATCATAAAAAAGACAGAATTGAAAAAAGTCCAAACTGTTTTCCTTTAGATTGTGATTTCATCAGTTTAGTGAGCTGAAGTATTTTATAATCTGTTGCATAAATATTTTAAATTTTCCTCAAGGTTTTCAGCCTTTTCTTATTCACGCTTTTCAAAATCGTACAAAAATTTTTTCAAAATGTATTTTTGCTTCGGTTGAGTTATTTTAATCCTCCATTTCTTGATCCACAAAAAACATTAAATTCAATGTTGGACAAATGAAAAATGCACAGCGAAACTTCCAACAATTGAAGGTTAGTTATTTGAACTTTAATTGAAAGCTCACAAAAGTCTGAAATTTTGATAAGCGAGAAATTATATAAGAACGCAAATTAGTAGATATTCCACGAGAAAATTTTCACGTCGATTTAGCATTTGCTTTTTATGTATGGTGAACTTGATCATTAAATTTTGAAATCGACACTTTTTAAAAGATTCAATCATTTTATACTTTTATCGCCCTCAGCTTGCGGATATATTTTAAATAATTGTAAATGATGACTGAAGCGTTAAAATTTAATACGTTTCAGAAAAAACATGTCCAACTTTCTGCAATCTTGCATAAGAAAACACACTGTTTTTCGCTCACAAAAATGTGTCAAAATCTTGAAAACACAAAATGTTCACCCGGAAGTTTAAAAAATTCTGGAAATATGATACATCAAAGTTTCAACAAGGAATGAAAGCTTAGAAACTTACGGAATAAAACTTATATACGAGTCACATCGTACGAAATACACACGGAAAAGTTTTCCATTCTTCTTTTGGTCATCGAGACCAAACTTTTCAGATGAATTCACGACGTCGTCTCGTCTCTGTTCCACCAGCAGACACCTGATACATGTGTAGAAAAAACATGAAAAAAAAGACAGCTTCATTTCCATACGATTTAATACCTTATTCAAATGCGGTGTGCTGACGTATCTGCTGTTTATTATGTGCAGGGAAATTTCTCGCCTTTACCACGTCCACAAATGTTGTCATGATCCCAACGCCTTGATTCAACTGCTGAGATACAATGGTGAATATGCAAATTTAAATCTATAAACCTTGAGAGGTTTGTCTGAATCAGGATATGTATCATGGAATCTCGCACCTTGAAATGTGTCTAGAACAAAAGCGATCCATGCATAAAATGACGCATGAAAACAATTTTGGCATTTTTTTTTGTGTGTGTTTCCTCTGAGAAATTTCATCGCAGATGCATTTTCTCCATATTGCAGAGTTTCCTCAAAATTTTGGATTCCTAGGCTAGGAAAATGAAATCAGTGCTCAAGAACAAGATGACTGGCATCATTTCGTCTAATCTGCTTTATTCGAAGATAGAAATCGATGAGAAAATTGTTTATCACGCCCACACAAAGTCACGCATCCTTGTCTCCGTTTTTCTGTACCAGAAATCGTTTAAGGTTGAATGGAAGTATGATAATGATAAGTCATGGATCGTAATCATATCTTTACTTCGGTGTTTTGCTGATTTTTGGATGAACAGTCGTTTGAAAACCTTTGTCAATCGCGGAAGCAAAAAAACAGAAGAAAGAAAACGAGTTAATCATGGCCAATTTTCGGTTGGCGACTGTCTTGTGTTTCGCAGTTTTTCTCGGTAAGTTGAGTTAATTTTCCGTGATTATATTCGGGAGCTGTGGTTTCAGTAAATTTTGAGAAATATGAAAGAAATGTGAGCAAGACATAACCGGATAATTTTTTTGCCATGGCTCGAGGAAGAACTCTGAGTGCTGCACCAGGAAACTTATACACAGAGAACTTAAAACCTTTACAAAATCAAATCATAATAAATGTTTTCCAAGGTTATACGAGTACATAATTTGAAACGGGAATATATAATAGATCATGGCATTTTTCCCAAGAACGTATGCTTTTATTCTTATTTTCTGGAGCTGTGCGTGAGTTTAATTTTTAATCTGTGGTTCTTGTCAGGACTTCAAGAACTTTTTTTTTGAAAAACACTTTCGTTGTAATGAACTGAATAATTTTTTTTAAACAGATTATGACGTTATTCAACGAAAAACCTTGAAGGATACAATAATATTTATTTTCGCCAAATTCAACTAAAGCATTAGCCCTTGATCAGAAGATCGAAATAAGACTCAAAATGAACGAAATATTTTTCATTACATGCATATCAGATTTTTCGGCTGTGACAAACGATTTTTCCAGTAGATGATGACGTTTTTCAACGAAAATCCGTGAGGGACGCAATTTTTGTCGCCAAATTCAACTAAAACATTAGCACTTGATCAGAAGATCAAAATGAGACTCTCAAAATTAATGAAAATGTGTTTCATTCTATACACATTTCAGATTTTTCGACGGCGACAAACGATTGTTTCAAATTTATTTTTTCCAGTACATGATGACGTTATTCAACGAAAAAACCTTGAAGGACACGATAATATTTATTTTCGCCAAATTCAGCTAAAGCATTAGCACTTGACCAGAAGATCAAAATGAGACTCTCAAAATTAATGAAAATGTGTTTCATTCTATAGTTACATTTCAGATTTTTTCGGCTGCGACAAACGATTGTTTCATATAATTTTTCCAGTACATGATGACGTTTTTCAACGAAAATCCTCGAGGGACGCAATTTTGGTCGCGAAATTCAACCCGAACATTAGCACTTGATCAGAAGACATAGAAAATAAGACTCTCAAAATTAACGAAAATGTGTTTCATTGTGTACATTTCAGATTTTTCGGCTGCGACAAATAGCGACAGCAACATGATGCACAAAGTACGACGGCCTTCCATCAATAATTTATTCTACCGAACAAGGATCAGGAAACCCGTTGTTCCGTTATCTCTGATGAATCAGCCAAGGATTCAAAATCGAGTTTTCTCTTGTCCTTCGGCATACGGAACATACCCGCATGAGGAGTTTTGCAATTTGTACTACGAATGTCACGAAAGCACGGCTTTCCTATTTAAGTGTCCGTTTGACTGGCTCTTTGACTCTTCGATGCGGCTCTGCGACTTTCCGAAAAATGTCGATTGCAACGGCCTGACCATCTCCTCGCCAGGTAATCCATTCAACTATTTAAAAAAAAATCATATTCATATGCAAGTAAAACTCCAAAATATTTGAAGGTCCTGTTACAGGTAAAACTCTTGAAAGCCAAATTTCAATAAGGGACCTGTGTTATCTGTCCATGGGTCCATTGGATCCCAGACAAAGGAATTGAATTGTGCAGCCATCAGAATGCAAGTTTTGAATAAGAACTCAGACTCTTTTCAGAGGAGTTCATTCTCATTGCCCAGTTCATCAATTGGCTGTTAATTCAATGGCTTTAATGGCAGATTCAATGGTTNGAATAAGAACTCAGACTCTTTTCAGAGGAGTTCATTCTCATTGCCCAGTTCATCAATTGGCTGTTAATTCAATGGCTTTAATGGCAGATTCAATGGTTAGCTCAGAATATTGAATGAGGTAATTTAAAGTTAAAAGGCCCTTTAACACTAGGTTCTGACTTTTTCTCTCAAAGAGGAATGAGGGTTTTTGTACCCAGGTGCTTGGACTGGGTCAGGATTGGCTGATTTTTGTGAAATCAAAGAAGTGATGACCACTTCTTGTCCTTGAGTGAGGCTCAGCAAGTCTTACAAAAACTGCGAGGCTCACTGACCTTGGAAATCCAACAAGTTTTTGGGTCCGGTTGTAACCAGATGCTGGAGCTGGGTTGGACCCAACATTATCCAAGAATTTCTCATCCTTCTTTCAGAGCTGTTTAAAAACAGATTCTCCCGTATTTTTTTTAACAGGAAATCCCTCACTTTAATATTTTCAGAAGGCTTTATTACAAAATCAGGCCATTAATGAAAGTCTGTTTTTCCCCTACCTGAACTAAATAATGGTGTAACTTCCTTTGTCTGCCTGACAAAGGACTGGAAGTGAGGAAATGATGCTTTATTCTGCATCATTGGCGCATTCTCAGGGAAACTTCCTGCTTGCAAGTATTTTTGGAATAAGTCTCCCTTTGTGTGCAAAACATCTATTTAACATTTGTATACTTCGAAAATATTGTGTTGTGTGTATTGAATATACTTTATTATATACAGTACTGTACATATATACATTTACAGTATATATTAACCAAGTGTTATATTCATTCCAGTCCATAAGGACAACACCAGAAAAAATTTGAGACATGGATGTTATGAGTGAAAGGAAACAAACATTTGTGTTAAGGAAAACAAAAGAGGAATTGCAGGAAATTTTAATATTTGATATTCTGGGCCTTAAATTGCTTCTGAAATCAACTGCATCTACACCACGTTCAAAAGAGGCATCATTCACAAAAAGTTAATGAAAAACCAAAGAATACATGATACTTGGAATCATATACAAAAGCACCTTTCCAAGTTGGTAATTTTACAATAAATTCAACAACAACAAAAACTTTGATTCCAGGACCAAATACTCCGACACCAACGGCGGTGGTAACTGATGGCACCACCTCGAGCACACCAGCATGGACCACAAGATCACCACCAACAACAGCTGAAGTGACTGACGCATTAACTACGCAAACGATTCGGACAACACCAGGTCCGTTCCATTGTCCGCCAACTGATGGCATTTATCCGAATCCTACCGACTGCTCCTCCTTCTACCAATGCGTCGCTGGAACCTCCTTTCTTCAAGTGGGTATACAGAATTGGAAAAAAAAGACGCTATAAAATGTATCTCTTCAAATGAGAAACGTGATTTTCAGATTCGGATGAGCATTCGAAATAAATTGTCAAGAATAGACCAATATGAACGTAGTTGCGTTTCTCCTTAAATGTGTTCAAGGAAAAAACGTGGTGCTTACAAACGTTGTTTGTCTAGAATCAGTGTTGCCAAACCTGTGGTCCGTGAACCAGGGTCAGTCCGCAGAAGTTTTTTGATGGTCCGCGGAAAATTTTCAGCATACTAACTTCATCAAAATTCAGGATGAAGCCGCTCTTTTCATCTAAAATTTTGGAAGGACAATGGCAGTAGAATTATCTGATAAAATCAAAAGTTGACTTTTCTCATAATAGCGCTTCAGACAAATTTTCACCTGCTGAAATAAATTATTTTAATTTTTTATTAAGAGAAGCCTTTTTCCAAGCCCACTTTTCAAATGTTTTGATGACATTCTGAACTGAATTTTTCATGTATTTACTGGCATAATAACATTCAAGTAGAACTTTGGTGAGTCTGCAAAAAATTTAGAAAACTTTGCCAGTCTGCAGAACATTTTTTGTGAGTTTGCTGGTCTCCAAAAATTTTATGGAAATTTGCCAATGTGCTGGCCCTAAAAGGTTGGGGAACACTGGTCTAGATTAAATGTATTTCATCTGTCTATGATACAAAAAATGTACAGCCAAACCTCATCCAAGTCAAACTTCAAAGGAGCAGCTCAAAAATGCGAATTAATGCAAGCCAAATTAGAGAAACAGGCATTCTTGTGGTATCAAGAAAATATAATTAAAGAAAATTGTTTGGTGATATTCTGGGCCTTGAATTCTTTCTTGAATGAGTTGACAAGATGCTGAAGTTGTAGTCAAGGATTCATTTGCAAAATTATAGTAATTTTATTTTGTTTAAAACAATTTGTTATATTGGTATTTCTTTTCTCTTTTTTGCTGTATCAATAAAATTTCTCAATAGGCATAAGGCCTCGAGAAATTCCCTTCATGGAGATTTGAGGGGCGGGAAAGCCTTCAAGTATTGGAAATTTTTAATAATTTGTTAAGGAAATTTCGACAGGAACTTGAAAAAAATTGCCAGAAGGAGGTATTCAACTTAGGGAGGCTCCAATTATGCTGGAGGTTCAACTGTATCACATTTCAAACTTCATAAATCAAATTCAAAGAAACTCTATAAACGTTAATCTTGGGAAGCTTTTGAATTTGGCAATTTGGCCTAATTTGTGCAAACTATTCAAGGAAACATTTTTCTGGACACATTTGTATAAATGTTCAATATTCAATCAAAAGTTGACTTTTCTCATAATAGCGCTTCAGACAAATTTTCACCTGCTGAAATAAATTATTTTAATTTTTTATTAAGAGAAGCCTTTTTCCAAGCCCACTTTTCAAATGTTTTGATGACATTCTGAACTGAATTTTTCATGTATTTACTGGCATAATAACATTCAAGTAGAACTTTGGTGAGTCTGCAAAAAATTTAGAAAACTTTGCCAGTCTGCAGAACATTTTTTGTGAGTTTGCTGGTCTCCAAAAATTTTATGGAAATTCGCCAATGTGCTGGCCCAAAAAGGTTGGGGAACACTGGTCTAGATTAAATGTCATCTGTCTATGATACAAAAAATGTACAGCCAAACCTCATCCAAGTCAAACTTCAAGGGAGCAACACAAAATGCGAGTTAATGCAAGCCAAGTTAGAGAAGCAGGCATTCTTGTGTTATCAAGAAAATATAATTAAAGAAAATTGTTTGGTGATATTCTGGGCCTTGAATTCTTTCTTGAATGAGTTGACAAGATGCTGAAGTTGTAGTCAAGGATTCATTTGCCCAATTATAGTCTTTTTATTTTGTTTAAAACAAATTGTTATATTGGTATTTCTTTTCTCTTTTTTGCTATATCAATAAAATTTATCAATAGGCATAAGGCCTCCAGAAATTCCCTTCATGGAGATTTGAGGGATGGGAAAGCCTTCAAGTTTTGGGAGTTTTTAATAAATTGTTTTTTTAGGGAATTTCGACAGGAACTTGAAAAAATTACCAAAAAGAGGTATTCAACTTAGGGAGGCTCCAATTATGCTGGAGGTTCAACTGTATCACATTTCAAACTTCATACAACAAATTCAAAGAAACTCTATAAACGTTAATCTTGGGAAGCTTTTGAATTTGGCAATTTGGCCTAATTTGTGCAAACTATTCAAGGAAACATTTTTCTGGACACATTTGTATAAATGTTCAATATTCATAGATTTATTGGTACCTAAAAAATATCCTAATCCCTAGTAGAAAGCTAGAGCTTAATATTATTTAATTTTCTTGCCTTTCTGGGACAGGTTTTCTATAATTTAGCTCGATATCATTTTCACAAAGGCCTTCAAAATTTGGATAAGGAGGTTGGATCCAAAAAGTTGCAGTCAATGTCGTTGTAGACGAAAAGCCAACTGTATCTAGAAAATATTGTCGTGTCAGAGGATACTTCGAATGAGCTGAGAAAATTTTCTGAATATGTTTAATTCGCAATTTTTTGTCAATGCAGGAGTGTCCTGATGGTACCAATTTCAACCCGGAAACGACGCAGTGCGAATTAGGCGACGAATTTTGCGACGAAAAACAAAATGGAAAGAAAAATCATATTTTGGTAAGAAAATTTCCAAAAATCTGATGCACAGAATGCATAACAAAATTGCGTTTAAATACAGTGAATGATGCGTGACTTTAATTTTTAATAACCCTCATGATCCTCTAACTCTTCAAATCAACAGTTTATGTTCAACGTAATTATGATATCTTCGATCTAACAATGAACTGCGATCGAAGTTCGGACTTTCATTTAATACGTGTCATGCGGTGTTTTTATTTTTTTATTCTTTCAAACTTTCATTAATGTTGGTTCTGAAGGAAAATACTCGTTTGGCCAGAAGTAGCTCTTTTTGGCCACAAAAGTAGCCTGCTTATACAATATCTTGCTTCAAATCCGATACCTGCTATTAATTTAATTTATTCTTCTGAGTAAATTTGTTCACGTTTCATGCCTTTTTGTTAATAAGCAGATGACAGAAGAACTCCAAACAACAGTATCAGAAGAACCCGAAACGAGCAGCACCACAAGAGCTCCTGTTGCAACACCATCCACCTGGTTTGAGGTAAATAAACTCTTGTACAGTTATTGAGCAAAAATAGTCCAAGAGAAACAGCGGTTATAAACTTATTAATTTTTTTTTGCGCTGAACAGGACGTCGTTCAACGTTTGGGCGAACGATGATGTCTTTACTGTGATATAATGGGCGAGGAAAACAATTGTCTGTCTGATTTTATTCATTTTTTTATTTGCAATGTACAGTATTGTGCATCGAATTCCTCAATTTCTCTTTCTTTGGCAAAAACTTTCATTTTTCCCGACTTTACTTCGAGTTTAGCCAAAAAGTACCGAATTCACGACGTCGACGTACGATGCATATATGCAGCGAAAAGCTTTTGAATGCAGTAAAATCTCATAGCTACAATAAATACGGTTGCAACAAATTTTTACAATTACAAAGTGTTTCATTAGCAGCCCTAGCAGAAAGTCCATACAGTGCATGTTAAAACAATATTTCTATAACAAAATTCCTGATATTTCATTACATTAAAACTTCATTGAGGAATTTTGAATATATTCTCCGCATAAACATTTCTTGATTAAGGCAGGCACCGTTTGAAATTTTGAAACCCAAAGGTGACTGACAGGTTCTTAACTCTTGGTTGCTGGTCCCAGGATTTATTTGCAAAATGATGTGTCCCACGTAGTAGAAAAAAGGGGGGAACAAAAGTGATTAGAAGGGCCAAAGTTGGGAAAAATTCCAAAAATATTTTAGCATTTCTGCAGAAAAATGTGCAAGAAAGACAGTTACTGTTGGGTGGCATTTTTCTGCATTCTTGCCATAGGATTAGCATTGGGGCTTTATCAGGACAATGACTTTCTTTTTGTGGGGTTTTTCCAGACTTTGGCAACTCAGCCAAAGCTGCTTTTTGGAGATCTTTGGTCAAACCAAAATACAGGAGCCTGCAAAAAAATCCTGCACTGCCACACAATGCAAAAGACCCCGCCTCTGCCCAAGGGTTAATTGTAGCATGGAATGAAGCTTTAATTAGTTTAATATATCAATGTCAAGCATGCTTCCAAGTGATTCCACACATCAGAGTGAAGAAATTGTGAAACTTTGATGGAATGCATGATTGAAGCTAAAATTTCTTTCAGAAGATCACCCAGTTTTTCAAACAATAATAAAAAATCGGGGACTGCCAAAAAAGCAAGATCTGATTGATTATAGGCATACCTGACGTGAAAATGGTTTCCAGTAATTAATTTGGAAAATCTCATTATAACACATGTTTTAGTAGACCAAACTTTTCTGAAGTTCCCAAAAAGTTTGCTGTAACAGGGTTCCACTACTGTATATTTTAATATTATTCCACATTCGACAATGGAAACTTCAGTCATATCCCACAAAGAATTCATCTGATGCGTGATTATAGTGTCCAGAACCTGAAGGAGACTTTGTCAGTCCCTACAATTGTTCGGTTTACTTCCAATGCACAAATGGACTCCCCTGGGAAGTGGTCTGTCCTGATGGTCTCTGGTTCGATACGAACCTGGGCAGGTGCAACTGGGCAGCCCAAGTGGATTGTCAAGCTCATCCCACCTCGTCCTTGGCTCTTCATCGTCCCAGAGGTTTGTCAACCACAGATTTCTAAACCCTTGGGCAGCAAAGTCCAACTATTTTCGCAAAATTTTGTTGCACCTCAGAGAGGTGAAGAAAAAAATGTAAACAGGGGGTTAAGGGCAAAGTTGGGAAAATCCCCATGTTTTTTTTCCCTGGGCACAGACAACTTTTGTGGGAAAATTAAAAAATGCTCAGTTAGGCTACCCACTTTTTTTTATTTATCCCAACTTTGCCTCAGCCCATCTGGAAGGGTTTTCCTGACCTTTGAAAATCTGAAAATGCCAGAGGATAAAAAAATAATCTGACTCTGCCCCTCTATGGGAAAGATCCCTCTGCCGTCCAAGGGTTAAGGAAAATTTCACTATGGTGTCTCAATTATTTGTTAATACTTGGGTTTCATGATACAATCCGGAGCAGAGAAGTCAAATATCCGAGGTGATCGAGTTATTTAATAATGTTCAAATATTTAATCCGCCGTAATTTGAAACTGTTGAAATACTGTATATTTAATTTGCATAAGTGGACCTCGCATCAAAAACCTAATTTATTTCAACGTGAGATTTTTTTAAAGTAAAAATTCGTTGTAAAAAAACACAAAATTCCTTCAGCTATAATTTGAAAAATACTGATCAGTTCCAGAAAGTCACAAAACATAATTAACAGATCTTGAAACCTGTATACAGTATTTACAGGAGGACTGTCTATTAGAAGTCTAAAAAATAATTTAAACATTTTTCTTTTTATGAAGAATTTTTTGTATGGTCCCAAATGATTCTCTCCTCATGTTATTATAGTTCTCCACCAAAAAATTATCTTTACAACTATTTTTTATAGTCCCTGGAATTTATTTGTAGAGGGAGTACGCCTGTATTAAGATATTAGTGTGTACCTTGAGGGCTTTGAAGGTATTTGTATGAAATTTAACTTATATTCAAATTTTTTTCATGTACTCAAATTTCATGCATTGACATAATTTCCGGGATAGAATACATACAACTCAATTGCTCTATCATTAATTTAAAACTTCGAAATTTGAAAATTAAAACTTTTTCTAAATGTGTGCATCTTTTATTACTATAAAATGTTGATAGGTAGAAAAACGTGTAACGCGATTAATTTTCTACATTTCATTATGTATGGTTCTCTTTATTCGAATAATTTATTACTGTATACACAAGGGTTCGGGTCCCCATTGATGATTTACTTTTGCTGATGCAACAAAAATTGACTTCTTGAACATTTTTCGCATCTAGATTATTCATCAATTACAATGGGTTTCCGTTGATGCATATTTTTTTACATGTGATACATCGTTCACAACTTGGTTTTTGTTCCTTCTCTTTTTTTAAAATGAACTATGCAGTTATTTTGCCTGAGCTTGAAGAACAAGTTTTATCCAACGAAAGTATCCCTGAAGAAGACGAATTGGAGGAAACCACAATCGTGGAAGAAGGAACTTCCGTCACCTTTTCAACAGCTGTGACGCCAGTCAATTGGTTCGAGGTATACAATATACAATGATTCATTCAAGGCTAGACTCATAAAAGTTTCAATACTTCAGTAAGTTATGAAAATGTAATTATGAATATGTTCAGGGAACCGGGAGGAAAAATAAGAGAGAATCGCGGCCTGAAGGGCAAATATTATAGTTTGACGCTTTGGAGAGGAAATGAAAAAATTTAAGGTATATAATCTAAATGTGCGGAATTTTTTGTTGAGAACAATTAAAACTGACAAAATACTTTTAAAATTAATCAATAATTGGCGCGTCTCGGGACGCGCCCGCAGCTGTTCAAAAAAGGCCCTTCCACAGGGCTTCAAAACAAAATTGTCGTAAACTCGACAAACCGTCGAGTATATCGAAACAAAAACCCATCTCTGGGGAAACGACTTCAACTGAGAGTCGAATGACCCCTCATTCCCCGCTTCAAGGAGATTGAATAACCCAAAAGTACGCCCCAAACTTTACCAGCTGCTGGTTCCCAGTCGTACCCGCCTGTATCCTGATACTTACTTTATTGTCGTGCTTCGCGTCAACTACTGTCGAAAAACCATGTTCCCCCTGT